AATGGTGTCATCTGGCAGAGCCCCATATGGACCTTGGGGATGGTGGGTGAGGATGTGTCCTGCCACCACTTACTCCTCCTGAATTCCTTTTTACTGTGAGTATGGAGTCAGAAGGTGGACCCCAAAGCTTTTATCTAGGGAACCCTCCCTGATCCACCTCCAGAAGGGGTGGCGTGGTGGCTAAACCAATGCCACTAGACAATATACCCAACGGCAAGAGAAACAACCTCCCAGAAAATGCTGTTGTAGGAAGGTGTCTCAAAGCAGGCAGGTAAGATGATAGACTGGCAACACTGACTTAGGGTAACTGCAGGGATTTGCAGTGCTGAGATTGCTGGCTGATTACCAGGTCTCTCTCAATCCTCTTTGGAAGGTCACAACAAGCAGGAGAGGTTTCAGAGTTGAAGATATTCAGGAGTTAGTGAAGGTATTCAAAACCTTGAATAATGACCTGCACGATGGGCTCAAACACACGCTCAGCAAGCTGGGAGGATGGCTGATACACTCAGTAGTTGTGCCACCATACAGGGGGACCTTGGCAGAGGGACAGCCTAGAGAAATGGGCAAAGAAGCATCTCCTGGCATTCAACAGAGCACAGTCCTGCACCTAGGGAGGAATAACCTCATGCACCCAGGGGATGACCAGAGAAAGACCGAGAGGTCCTGATGGACACCAAGTTGGAGGTAAGTCAAGGGCAATGAGCCCTCATTGTGGTGGACCATTGGTGGCCAATGGGTTGCCTTAGGTCAAGGGAACTGGCGGTCCTGGGCTCGGTAGCAGTGGAGCATCTGCTACCACAGCAGTTTAACACCTTAAACCATTCTCTTGTATTATTTGTTTGGGACATGGCCCTACATTTTTTAATTATTTTACACCCAGAATTGCCTCAAGTCCTTGTTGCTATCAACGGGAATAGGAGACTTTCGGGAACCAGCAAGAGGAAAGCAGAAAGCTTTTTTTCCCATATTTCCCTTTTTCTTTTTTTTCTTTATTATGGAGTCTGCATCATTGCTATTCCCACTTCAACATAACCATAAAAATAAAGCTGGGTTGCACATGTGCTCATGAACAAGGTCTTCGGATGCTGATTAATGTGAACTCCTGGAAAACACCCTATAAATTGGAACAAGTTCCCTTTGATTAGACTTGTGTGTAAAACTGAGGAAGGATGACTGGGGAAATCCAGAGTCTGATGATCTCCTAAATTTTCCAGAGTACCCACTGGAGATATGCTGGGCTGACTGATATCTCTCTGTCACTAACGTCATGAGAGAATGCATATAAAAATAAGATAAAATGTGTAATGAAGAAGGAGAACATTTCTGTGAATAGTGATTGCATCAATACTAACGCAGTTAGTCTCCTGAAAATGCAACCCGTGGAAGGCTAGGCATTTCAGCTGGTAAATATGTTTACCTCTGGGGTCTGCTTCGCTTCTCCTCTTGAGGTGTTCTTTGAACTTGCTATTCTGATGTAATGGTTATTGGTTTGGTGACATGGGCAATAAAGTGTGATTAACATCTAAATTGTGGGCCCTTCTGATTCACTGGCTTTCCTCATAATATTGATTAAATCCTTCAAATTCTTCTCTGGAAGAACTCCCAGATGGGGACACTTGCTGCTCCTCACCAAGTTTATCGCTGCAGACAGGACTCCAGTGATGCAGGGTGCAGAGAGACAGCAGCATTGAAATATCATACAGATTCTTTAAAGGATCTGTTCACAGCACTGCCACATGATTATTTGTTATATAATGACCTTTGCCTTCTTGATAGGTGCACTATTGCCTGCAGCAGTGCAGAAATGTGATAGAGATTTTACTAACTAGAGCCCTGGGCCAAGAGATGATTGGATGCAAGACCCATAAGATGAGGAGTGAAAGATATTGGTCACGGGCTGACATCTACGTTGTCGTTAGTGGTTAATCGTTAACCAAATGTAGATGCCACCGTTCTCTCACCTAGGGCAGCTCGGGATGGCAGAGGTAGCTCTGTTGCATTGCAATGCAGAGATATATCTTCAACATCCACTTCCTAAGCTGCCTGAAGTGGTTAAATGGTCCTGTAAGGACAACGTTGGTCCCCAAGGTGTGTCTGAAAAGAGGAGCATGAAGACAGGAGCACATTCCTGTTGCCTTGGCAGGATACACGTGATGCTATGAGGTGCATGGGGACAACCCCAAGCTGTTGCTATCAGACCCAGACTTTGAAATCCATCCTTAATCGCCCAACGTAACGTTTTGCCCTTGAAACAAAAGACTGCATAACAGTCAGTATGCCATAAGACAACCTTATTGTACCTATGTAATAAAGGCAAAACTACTTATTATATTTCAAAATACTTCAGCTGAGAGCGGTTTATCACATTCCTTCATCACACATTCCCATTATTGAGGAGCTGCTTCATATTTTTGTACCTCGAGCTTTTCTTCAAAGGATATTTTGAGAAGCCACTGATTGAGAAGATGAACTGAGGAAGGTCCCCAGCTCCCAGAGTGAAGGACATTTAAGTTGAGACAGTTTATATGTTTGGCCTGATTCTCAAGGTTAAGTACAAGCAAAATCCTACAATCATTAACTCACTTATGGCTGCATCCTTCCAAGATCACCTCTCTTTCTCCTAAGGGCTCAGAGAAGATGATAAGGAAAGTGATGTAAGACATAGCAAGAAAATCTATTTTGCACAAGTTTCCATGCTCCCTTGGCCTGCAGCAATAGGCAATGTTATATTCTACTCGTCTGTTATTCCTCTGAGTAAATTATTGCGGATTTGTTGCCATGTGCAGCACAAAACGTTCATGAGACAAAATTCCTGCGTCAGGTGCTTGCGCATAAAATAGAGCATCAAACACGAGTGTGGCTAGTTCAAAGTATTTTGCACATTGATTTGTTGTTCTGCTCCCTTCTGAATTTACACAAGAAGAGGTATTTTTATGGCTGCTTAATTGCTGCCTGCTCTTTATAGGAGCTCATTTTATATGTTTATCTAACAGTAAATTTTGCAACTCTGCTTGCATCTTACTGGAAATGTCCTAACAGCGTAGAGAAAGAAAAGAACCTGGATACAGAACGGACAACTTTCAGTAATCATCCCCTCTCTTCCGACACTAATTGCAAACAACCAGAATACTTGACCTTAGCTATATCTGCTTAGGTCGTATCTGTTTATCCTGGAGACAGGAAGCTCAACACAGCTTCTCTCCGATGAATGAAAGACATTATCTAAAGGCAAGGTAGCGTGTGCCGTGGCAACGTAAGTCATTGTTTTTATCTTCAGAAGAAGCAGCCTTGTTTAGTCTCTATTTTGAATAAACTCTGTCAATCAGAAATGATGGTAATTTGCATCATAGCTCAATAACTTTTTATGGCATTGTAAATAGGAGGCAGGAAATGAAAGAAATGGGCAGCCAATAAATGATAGCAGGTGGCAGGCCGGGTTTCTCCTAAGAGCACGGCTCATGTTAAAGCCATTTGTCATCTCACTTCTTAGGAAAACAGTGGCTATCTCTCAGGAAAAACATAAATAAAAAATAGAAAATAAATAAAAGATGTGCTTAAAAGGAAGTTTCTGGCTTCTGTTAATCTTTGACACTTGCCCGAGCACATCTCTAGTGAGACGCTCTCCAGTCCAACCCATTAGCCCATTGCGGGCCCCATCGCGGAGCAGCCTTTTGCATCGCAGCGTTCATCCTAACGGATGTGAACGGAGCAGGAATTTTCGCACCTCATAGGACTTTGAGGGCTTCATTGGTGGGGTTGGGCACCTCATTTGTTGGATAAGACCTTAGCTTTATGGCGCTCACTTTCCTCAGGAAACCTGGTAGCAGAGTAGAGGGCAATAGAGAAACGGAGAGGGTAATTCAAAAGGTCAGTGGTGAGAGGGAATAATTTGCAGAGTATAAATTATTATATTGTTATAATAATAATATTATATATATATAATATTATAAATGTTATATAATGTTTGTTATATAATTATATTATATGTCTTATTACGATCCATACAGGGACCATAAATGGCAAAGCAAATTGTTTTAACTTCAGGCCAACACTACCAAGACAATATTTTCCCTAGTGAAGACCCAGAAGTGAAAGACTTTATAGAGCAGAAAAGGGAGCAGGCAAAATTTCACAAACATTTTCATCACTAGCTTTTATTTCATGTACAGTAGCATATAAACATAGGCAGGCTCTTCCTTCACCTCTTTCTTGCCACCAATAAATAAAATCAATCAGCAATGTTTTCACCACAGAGTTGATGCCATCACAGCAGCTTAGTCCTCCTTCCTCCTAAGCAGAACCTCCTGAACATGAATATCAATGGGTAGAAGTGAACTTCCCTACGACGGTGTAGAAAGGGCTCCTGGCGCCTGTGCTCCTCTACACCTATGCAATATGTTGGCAAGAAACAGTGAGTTCAAGTAACAGATTGAGAGATTTCTGGCTCTGTGAAAGCGCTGCTAAACGCTCGTAGCTTGTCCCTGGGTTCAACGCGGTGGCTGCGTTGCAAACACGGTCATGCCGTGTGCGACCGGACACGGATGGTCACCCACCGCGCTTGGGAAGTGCGAGCTGGACATGAGCCAAACCCAACGCCATGGGTGCACACATGCCAGGGGGACAATTCACAGGCACATGTAGTTTCTAGAAAGGCTACAGAAGACTTGAAAAAATGAAAATTAAACGTGGAGACCAAAAGGCTGAGCCTGGGCTATCTTCACTCCAGTCAAGTGTCTCTCAACTCATGTAGACACGTGGCTCCGGCCGAGTTGCCGCAGGGCAGCGCTCGCTTGACAAGTGACCTCCTGAATGAGGTTGCACTGCACTGCTGGCGGTACCACCTATACGTTAGAAGGTTACCCCGAGGGTGTCTAAATGAGCTAACAGCTACCCTTGGACTGAAGTGGAGATGGAGCCTAACTATCGATTTGGGAGGGTATGGGATGTTGTGAGACAAAAGCATGAGTCTCATGACTTGGAGCATCTCCTTGGAGCATCCCTTGTCCTTCTTCATAAGCAGCCGGCACAGGCTGCGTTGACACAGATTTCACACAGGTCGAGCTCTTGGACAGCCATGTCTGTTGGGGATAAAAGAGAGATTCAGTGAAATTGCAAGATGAGTATCTATGGGTAGAAGTGAACTTCCCCATGACAGTGTGGAAAGAGCTCCTAGCACCTGTGCTCCTCTACATCCATGCAGTATATTGGCAACAAACTGTGAGCTGGAGTAACAAATTGAGAGATTTCTGGTTCTGCGAAAGCGATTTAGAGGCCCCTTCCTGGTAGCGCCTTATGAGCTTTGATAATCAGTCCACTTCTCGCTGGTGCAAGGGAAATTAATTCTAGCAGAAATCTTGGTTAAAGCATGAAATCCCACCCAGATTCATTGGGAAAGCAATGCAGAGGCAAGAGAACAACGGGTCTTAGAGCAATTACTTTTTCTTTGCTGCTATTTGGACATTTAAGGTTGGAAAATGCAGTAAAAGAAGCAGGGCCTTGGCAACCCAAGCTACATACTCAGCCTCTCAAACACCACGGGTGCATCTGTTCTTTCACACACACTCTGGAACTCTTCGGGGAGATCTTCTTCTTCACAGGGCACCCAGATACTCTTCATGCGGGGGTTGATGTCGCTGCTCTTGCCCATGAGCTCCTTCAGCTTCTTCACGGACTCCAGGGAGAATTTCAAGTCTCCATCCTATGTAAACAGGAGAACAGCACAAAATAGGCACCGGGGCCTCAGTCCATCCCTTCCACCCAATGCCCACTGAACCGCAAGCTCTCCGAAGAGCAGGGAAAAGAGGATGCGGATGAGACAAGCCGAGAGAAAACCAAATGACAAGTTGAACAGAGGTGAACGGGGATTAACTTTGTCCACTCTTTCTTCCCACATACCAGTAGAGACCTTTGCATGGCAGGCTCAGAAACGAACACAAGGAGCTATTCCTTCACCTCCCTTGCTCTTAAGACCTACAATCCCTTGCCTCAAGGTACTGCAGCAGGTTTCCATGAGCTTAAGAAATGTCCACACAATTAATGAAGCCCAGATGATTAGAAGCTGCTGAACATGACGCTTCCAACAAATCCCACCCGCTCATGCAAAGAAATAAATTGAAGTGAGACTCCTTAGAGCATGAGACTGTATTTTGCCTGAAAACACTGCTTCATCATCCCGTTAACCTGACACTGAATTGCAGGAGAGTATTATTCTTGTGTTAGAGTATTCAAAATAAGAATAACAACAACAACCGTGGACACGCATTTCTTTATCAAGGGTCAAGCCCTCTTCTACTTCCAGTCAGATTATGATTTTTACTTAGATTAATTTATCAGTCATGGTTGCCTATGAGAAATTAACAGTTCTTGTAGAAATGCAATTCTAGATTCATTTATTGGCCATAGACCATAAAAGCATAAGATAGAGATAAAAATTTAAAAACAAAAACAGAAAGGGATGACGTGAACTTAATTTCTTCATTCATCCATAGGATTTCTCCTACCTAATGCCACTGCCTGGCAGGATTAAACCCTATGACATGTGTACTCCTGGTGACAAGGAGAGCTGCCCTCCGAAGTGAGAATGATGTTTTAGAGAACTCGGACTGTGCAGCATCTTCCCTCCGAGCTGAACGTGCTGCCGAACCACCAGATTTTATCACGGAAAAAGCACAAGCCAGAACCACCCCTCTCCGTTATCCCTCCATTTAGAGACCACAAACAGCAAAGATCTTGCACTGCGGGCACTCAGGATTCGTGCCAGAATCCGTGTCCAGATGCTGCCTTTAAAAGCACATTACCAAATCAATCAAATTCCACTTGTGCCTGAGCAATTAAATGGATGATGAACAACTTCCTAGCTTTTTCCTCCTTCTCCCATAGTTCATCTACCTATTAATATTCTTTCGGAGCTCCAACCAAAGCAATATGGGAGAACACCACATACGGAGCCAGAGCAAGGCGCAGCTCCGCTCTCCTCGCTTAGTTCAAGATTCCCCTTCCAGTCTTTGCATAAACTCAGGACTTTACTCCACGTGCAAGACCAGAAGAGCAGAAAAACTCACCTGAACATAGACAGCACGGGAGCTGTGCGCCAGCGAGAGCAGCACAAGGACAGTGACACAAAGCAGGCCCTTCATAGCCGTGGCCTCTCCGAATCCCAACAGCTTTTCTCCCAATTTGGTCTTAACTGCCCTTTTTGGGGCTTTCTCGGATTCCTTCTCACTCTTCCCGCAGCCGGAGCTCTGCGTTCCCAGCACAAGGAGCAGCTTTATAAAGCCTTCGCCCAGCACGGGCTGGTAATCCATTAATCCCAACTCTTTATGGCCGTGCCATAACGGCGGCGCGGAGCGCCCGTTATCTCCTCCTTGGCAGTTACACCCGGGCACGGCCTGGGCTTTATGGGGCTCTCGGGTTTGAGGCACAGAGGAGCGAAGGGAGCAAGGGAAAAAACACACACAAAAGCAATGTTGTATTTTACTTTATTGTATTTTTTAAAATTTCTTAGGTGCACGGGGAGGTGACGGCCTTGCCAGCCACCGCGGTGACCCAACTGTGACAATTAATGACAGTGCCAATGTTTCTTCCCCCGAGGAGGAGGAGGGAGGAGCAGACCCCAGCAGCAAAACCAGCCCTGTGGCACCATCCCCTCCCCACGTTAAATGCTATTTGGAAGGGCGGGTTGCAGGAAGTTGGGAAAGTGTGAGAAATAAGAGAAAACAAATGAAATAAAATAAAATAAAATGCAGCCCTGAGGGAAGGAAGGAGGAAAAGTCCTGCAGCTGCCTGCACCCCTTACAGCTCAGGTGCAAGGGCAAGGTCGTAAGCACAGCAGACAAGAGTCCTGCCAACCCACAAGGCAGGGCCACCAGAAAGCGCCAAACACTCAATTCAGGGTGAGGAACACGACTTTATTTTGAAAATGGAGTCAATCTCGAATCAAAATCATTCTGATCAAGGGAAGAGACAAAAGAGAGCAGCAGCACTGCAAACCAGGCCCGGAAAAGCTACAGCAGCATCACTGCATTTGCAAATCCTCTGGCAATGGATTCCCCTCGAACATCGGTTTCATTTACAAGCCCACTAGTTGCCCCAAATCTTAAAAAAAAAAATAAAGGTGCAGTTTTCTGGCACCTACCAGTCCTCAAACAGTTGCAGCAAGGAATCCAAGTGCTGTTGGCTCTCTGTGGTGCCAGTGATAGGAAAAAAATAAAATAAAAAAGGCTCTTCCTCCCATAGGGAGCTCAGTCGGACTTCTCCTTCTCCTTCATGTGCAAGAAGACGATGCTGAACATGAAGAGGCCCACCATCATGGAGAAGGCCCCGGCATAGTAGGGATACGCCGAGGGGATAAACCGTTCGTACTGCGTGTGCTGGAGAGGCCGTACAGACACCTAGGGAAGGAGAGAACGGCTGCTGAGCTTTGTGGTACCCAGGGACACATCGAGGTAGGTCAGAAGGGCTGCAAGTCCTTGCACGTTCAAGTACGCTGCACCCCGACCATAACTTTAACAGATATCCCTTTTATCCCTTTGATGGTTTTGACTTCTTACATGATAAGTTGCCCCTGTGCTTACCTGGGTAGAGGAGTACAGGTGAGTATAACCCAGCCGGTTATAATCTACTTTAAACTGAAACACCCCGTAGACATCTGGCAGCTTGAACTGCACGCTGTATTTTCCTCCTAAAAAAAGAGAAAGCAGCACACTGTTTAACTGACACCAAAAACAGCAGGGGAGACACCAAAAACAGACTGTGGAAGTCTTCTCTTTGCAGCCAGTCTCCCCCCTTACAAACACTGCCACACCAAGGGGCAAGAACATGCCAAAACAAGGCTGGCGAGGTGACAGAAACCAACCATTTCTCTTCAAGAAAGTCCGGACGAAGGGATCAATGCGGACGAACTCCAGCTGAATATCGTCTCCATCGAAGGGGACCCACTTCCCGTCAGAGAGTTTTTCGATGACAATGCTGTACTCCTGGAACAAAACCGGTGTGCTGAACATTACTTAAGACCGAAAAAACAGGCATTCGAGGCAAAAAACATCAGGCTCTGATGCTAGAGAAGAGAGAAATTTCAAGGCGATGAGGGAATTCTCCCATATTTTTTTTCCAAAGCAGATTAGCCATCTTAGAAACACAACTGGGCTAGCAATGATCCAATCAGCACTCAGGGGCTAAAAAGTAAGTAAATACAAATATTAGAGACCTGAAATAGCTCTAGCTGTGCTTCTCAGATCCCTAGGCTGCTGAAACCTGAAAATATCCTCTCTGGTGCAACAGGTTTTACAGTTATAATCTTTAAAGCAATGGGTTTTTTTTCAGCTTTTTGATGCATTTTGATTTTACTTTGGAGAGCAGTCTGAAATCTCTGCATTGAAAGCCAGACAAGCAACAGCCAAGTAAAAGCTTCAGAATATGCCATGCACCAGCCTCAGGTCTTTTTGCACAAGGTTTACAGGAGAAAAAAATAAAATTAAAACCCCTCTAAGCATCAGTAACATCTACCAGAGAGATCACAGGCTTTTCCAGACCAGCATGAGAGCGGCCTCGCTGAGCACTAGCTCCTGGAGACACGTCTGATGGACTCCCTAAGCTTCTCCAGACCAGCCATTTAACACGAGAGTGGCCTCCCTGAGCATTAACTCCTGGAGACACGTCTGATGGACTCCCAAATTTTTAACTGGAGGAGGAGACAGCCGTGTTTCCTGCTGCCCAAAGAGCACGTTGTGTCCCAGGCATGTCCCTTACCACGAGGTCGGTGACGGTGTAGGCGTTCGGCGGGGCGCGCTCGCCCACGCGGTGGTGCGACACGGCCCCGACGCGCAGCACGCCCTCCTCCTTGAACACCCAGCGCGACAGGGCGACGGCCAGCTCGTAGTTACCGGTCTGGGAGTATCTGCACGTGGAGAAAGGCTCAGAAAGTAGAGCAGCCACTCTGAAAAACTGCAGCACATGCCCAAAATCATTAAATGGGTCTGAAAGCGGCACAGAGCCTGCCTAGGTTTGAAAAGGAAATTCCTTTCCAAAGCACTCCCTCCTACAAGGGAAAGGAGCTTGCTCCTCAAGCAGCAGCTTAAGTGTGCTGCACAGTGACTAAATATAGGGAAACATATTTTTAAAAGAAATCCAGCACTTAAGTTATGTCTTGCTTATTAATGGGACGTGCGTGTGCTGAAAGATGGGATATTGCGCACACGTTTTGCAAAACATTTGGATGTTCTGGATGTAAAAACATCCTGATGTTATGGACAGGAAAAGCTACCCCAGGAAAACACACACCTTGTGCTGGTTACCTAACTTACCTGCACCAAAGTCAAAAGAACACAAGTCTTTCCTTTTTTCAGGAAAGTTTCCTATAGCACAAATATTTGCTGCCTGTTTCCCACGATCTTCTTGGTCAAACAGCTCCCCAGACATTGCTCAGCCAGGAAAAAGTTATCCTCCCTCTTAGAGCCAGGAGTAGCTTTCTGCACAGCAGAATTGAAGAAAGCATCGCTAAAGAAATCCAAGGAGCCACTAAAAACAACGCGGGCGTTGTTCCTTGCCTGGAGTCCAGCAATCAGAAGGGTGTTCTTCCCGACGGCATGGGGATACTTAAGAGAGATTTAGAAAGAGAGATTTAAAAATAGCATTTAGCCAATTCGAATATGATTAAATAACCAACCTTTTTGGGCAACCTTTTTCCCTTAGTCTTTATCCTAGGCTGGCATTTCTTCCAAAGCATCATTCGTGCTGTGCATTTTCCAAGCAACAAAGAAACAGAAGGGAAGGAAGATTCCCAGAGCAGTGGCAGAAAGCAGACAACATGCTGACACTTTCCCAATCAGGAGAGGAACCGCCTGAGATTTTCTGCACGTTGCTGAAACTGAGGGAGCTGAGGGTGGCCCCAAAGACAAGAAAAAGTACCTGAGTGTACCTGAGTAATAGGCTTATCCGGGAAGAAGGAATAAGAGGTTGAAGAGCCGGTCAGGATATCGAGCACCAGGGGGTTGTCAGGATCAGCCACCAGCCTACTGGGAAAGAGAGGCACAGTGACCCCCAGGCTTACTCAATATGGGCCAAGTTAAAACAAATCCCACTTCTTGCTCAAAAGTTAAGAGAGGGCCTTAAGAGACCTCAAAAGTTAAGAGTCATAGCAGGCCTCCCTGCATCCTTAGCTACAGAAACACCGATATTTTTCAGATGTTTCCCCAATAACAGCTTGGACATCCTCCCTTCCAGCCCCACTTTGCAGTTACTTACCCAACTCCTCGGAAAAGGATGGGATTCAGTGCAGTTTTCCCCACGATAGTGGGAGCTTTGAGTAGATTTTCAGCATCCGCGACTATAAGCGTGTGCTGGAAGGAAACAAGGAGTTTTGTGTAAATGCAACTGTCCAGCTTGTAAACCTCACAGAACAGGTTTATACACACATTTTATATAATTTTTATGCTTTAGATGGTGAATAGCTTCTTTTTACGAGAAAATTAACTTCATCTTTAAAGACTACTGAAATAGAACAGCTTTTGGAAAAGAACACTTTCTGTTTAATTGTAGCTATGGTCAGATTAAACATGCTGATACATGAGTAAGTATAAAACACTTTCTGATAAAGAAAATATTGTTGCTCATTAATTACCATCCCTTACAGCAGTTTGACCAGTTACTTGCCCATATTCAGTCACTTTCACATTTAAAGTAGGACAGCTCCAATATACTGCTTAAATAGCTTTACTTAAATGAAAATTAGTAGAAACTGTTAAATTCAGATGTTAATCTACCAGAAATAAAACTGGACATGCTTCACAAGCAGGTAAAATCCACCTCTCCCCTTTTGCAGTGGTTCAAAACCATCACTAGCACCGCTTGAGACACGCTAACAATCTGAAACAACGCAAGGCAGCAGAAAGATCAAAAGCAGGAAGTTCAGAAATACATATTTGAGGGCAGAGACCCCAAATGCGTCCAGCTTTATGCTTTTTTGCCCACAGTCCTGACCACAGCATGGCTGAACACTGCTAAATGATTGAGATCTCCGCTGCAGCAAGCCAGGAGAGCAGAGAATGGAAGGAAGGAATGACAGAGGATCCATCTCCAAATCCCACACCTGATTGCAAGTCCCTTCTCGTTAACAAAAACAGAAGCTGCTTCACAAAAACCACTTTCTCCCTTCCAGTATGGGGCACACCCAGAAGATTCAACGACTTTCACCTGGCCTGGGTCCGATATATCGTAGTTATGGTGGTCGATGACCGCTGTCTTCTCCTCATCAAACTCTATCCCACACTCGCTGCCCAGTTCCCGCAGGGGGTCCCCTGGAAGGACAAAGCGGATCCCCGGTTACGCAGCGTGCTCAGAAGGACGCGGCATCAACCTGAACTTCAGCAGAAAAATCAACTTGGAGGCACGTGCTCAGCACCCTGGTGGCAAAACCACTCGCACTCAGGGCCACCTCAGCCAAATCCCCACCCAAAACGTAGCTAAGGCAAGTCGGTTTTCTTACTCAAAGTCTATCATTGATTCCCCGCCAAGGCATTTCAGCACAGCCTTGAGTTTGCAACAAGAAGCTGGGAGCACAGAGCACCATCCAGTTAAGTTTCCCTTTCACAAAAAGCAGAGCTTTAAGGGTGGCAAGGACACAGAAAAAGTTCCCTTTTCTTCTCCAGGCGTGGATTCCCTAGAGTGCATCTACAAAACACAAAGCTAAATGGCTCTGTCCTGCAGACCCCCGAGATATCATGCTTTTTTGTGACCACCCTTCTGCAGCAGCTCAAAAAGGGGGCAATAACCTAGGCCCTCATTGCAGGGGATAAGCAGGCAAAAGACCCCAAGATGTGAAGGAGCTGAAGCACCCAGAGGTACTCATGACACAACAAGCAGCTGCACTCACCAATGTCCGAGCTGGCTGCGACAAGGACGCTGCCGCCACCGTCGATGAAAGCAGTGATGGTCTCCACGTTGATGTTTCCGCCAAAATCTGAAAACGCACACCAGGAATTCCCACCTCCATCCCTGGAACCATCCCAAACGCACGGCTAGAGCCATGGCCACACACAGCACCACTCCAACAGCGGCTGCAGGAACCGCCACGGCAGCAAAGGCTGGCAGATAAGCTCAGGTAACCCTGGCTCTACACACAGCACTGTTCTTATCCTAGATAACGGCCACCAACTAACAGTGGCAAAATGATCTCTAAAAAAACATAAACTTCTTAATATTCATTTTGAAGCCCCTTTTCAAAAACGCTCATAGTTGTGCTCCGGGTATTTTACCTTCTATGGATGGGGAGAAGATGATCAGGTTGTCGTACAGAAATTCCCCGTATTTTATAAGCGACAGGCCTGCATCATCAGCCGTCCGGAAGGTGAGATCGAAACCCCTGTCTGCAGCCGCGAAATAAAATTGAGATAATTTTAAACGTCATGGTCTGAACGAGGAAAATTAACAATCACGACAGCACCCACACGCGGTTTCACGGGGCTTGGGGGCACAAGGACCTGGTGGAGGGAACCCCGGAGGGGAAGACGCAAAGATCAAGCGTTTAAAAGCGCCATCGGTTGCCACCACGGGTGTTTTC